CTTGAAAAAAAAAATTGATCCCAAAAATAAGTCAGCAATAGTTTGCAAAAAATAATAATTAAAAAAATCATTCCAAAACTATTAAATAAATGCTAATACTGACTTAATTTTGAAGCCTGTACTTTCACTCCGGATGGGATGGTGTGTCTCATAAGGAGACAATTTACAAGATAATTTACCTTGAATGCCCTCAAAGTCTTAGCCCTCCTTAGTATTATAATATCTCTATGACCACAAGTTTGAGGATTGGGGTGAAGAATGTGGCATATGACTCTTTCAAACATAAGGAGGGAATAAGCCTATTGGTCAGCGGTCATACCTCAAAGGGTGAACTTTTAGTGAATGATCTTGGAAGTGAAAACACAATTTTACCTGTCCTCGATGGTCTGAGTCAAATGCACTGTTACAGTACACTGAGGATATTGATAAGTGCATGTCTATCCATTGTTTGCAGTTTAGAGTAAAAATAAACAGTTGTTTATCAATACAAACAAACAACAACAAACAACAAACGACAAAACTGCACATATAGTGTCACAGGGTCAAAAACTGAAATAAATGTGACATCATCTAGGATTGTGACACACGTTACATAACCATATTTCAAGCATATTTAAGGTAGCACAAAACAAATTCTCTACTGACTGCTGCAACTCCAATATGGCCACTAGAATTTCAACAAAACGGGTGTTCAAACACAAAAAAAAAAAACCTGAAGCTGAAGTTACATTTTCTTCAAGTGCATCTCAGATTTCAACAATCATCAATTTTCATCAGTTGTGAGCTTTGAACAAGTAAGACCCCTCGGGTCCTGTCGTTCTGTCCGTCTTGTTACCACATGGCTCTTCAAAAATTGGTGAAGCTTCATTGAGCCTTTATGTTCCAAGATGCTGGACCTCCAATTAAATACAGTAAGGTCTAACTCACCTGTGATATATATATTTTTTTTTATGTTAAATTGTTTTTTAAATAAAAGTATAATTTTAGGTTATTTGGTTTCATCTGCACACACAGTATATATCTATTACATATCTTATTTATTCTAGTGGGCGATTGCTGATCCTAAATATTTGTTATTCTTCTGTTTCGATTGTTTTTTTCTATTTAGTCCTTTCTTCCTAAATGGTTTATATCATGTATTATACACATATGTGGCTCCTTTAATTTTGCCTATAAGTCTATACTCTGTGCAGCACATTTGACTTTCACCTCATAAGAATTGTGTTTAAGATAATATATTACTACCACTATCATTGACATCATGAAATATTATAACCTTTTTATTGTGCCTGTTTTTTTCTAAACTGTCCGTTAGGAACCCAAGTCAAGTTGAAGAGCTCTGATTTGAAAAAACATTCTGTAGAAAACTCAAACAGTACTAGAGCTTCTGATGTCCACAACCAGATAGGTCTGACAATGACCCTTCAGGCTAATCTCTGGATTAACACTAAAAGTTAGGATCTGTATGATTTTTTAGTAGATTCGGTTTAATATTGCCTCACTCATTGAGAATATTTGTATAATGGGGATATGACCAGGACCTGCTGGAATGCTGATTATTGTTTTGTTGTGCAAAGCCTCAGTTGTACACACCATTATCCATATGTTAATGCTGCCGCTTTGCACTTTTGAGACAGAGATCACAGAGGAGTGCTGTTAGAAAGCTTTGCTGTTACTCAGTGTTTATAGTTTTACACGGGAACAACCAGTGCAGTCATGTTGCTGGCCAATTGTATGATTTTACACAGCTTTCAAACTGGCATAATTTTCAAACAAACAGGGCATCCTTCAAATGCACACACTGAGGACTTCTGTCTTGGCAGCTGTTTACACAGACACCATTGCAATTTTCTTATTTCTTCCCATTTTATGATACTGCACCATACATGCATGATATTAATTCACAAAATAGTTAGTATTCTTGTTGATGATCATATTTACATTTATAGGTCAATGAATTCAATTTTTTTTTCAGTGGCACTTTAAGACTACTGTACTGGACTGCTGTTATTCCAACTGGCTTACTGACAGATATTATGTATCTCAGGTCCAAGGAAAAAAAGTGTCTGGTGTGTTGTCCACTGCCTTAAGGGAATCAAACACTTCAGATGCTGTTTTGAAGAGTGCAAGGTTTTCAATTACATTTGGACAATTCAATTAAAAGAAATGTATTTGTCCCCAGGGGGCAATCCAAAAGACGAGCAAAGATGCCAAGTCATTTTATTTGTATTTCACCAAATTAAAACAGAAGGTTTATCCTGACACTTAAAATGTAGAGGTCTAGACTATACTGTTTCAATGTGAATATAATGTGACTTCCATTTGATTGTAAAGTGGGAAAAAACTGATTAATCTTTTTGAAATAGCAACACAACACAAGAAATAAAATAAACTTAAAAATAATATAAATATACACAGCACCGAACACAACAGAAAAACACACCTAGTGCATCATTAAGAAAAGAAAAACCTTCTGTTAATACAGAACTTACAGCAGTATACAACACACACACAAGCTGGTCAGAACTTACCATTGAGTCTATTTCGGCACCCAGTTTTTTAAAAAAATGGTCATAACTTCTCATAAAGATGTTGTAGAGGGGTAACAATACACAATGAAGAATGACTTCATTCATTCAACCTGACCTGGAAAATACTAAAGACACATTAAAATGACCAAGCTATCAGGAAGAATGAAGACTGGTGGCATGAGGATAACAGCACAACAGCTGACCTGCTTAGAGGTCTGATAAGAGGATGACAGGGGATGGAGGGGTCAGTGCTCTCTTATTGTTAATGATACTTATTGTCAGCCATCTTTTGTTTATCTCAAGCTATTCACGAAATGGTTCAGGTTTTCTTTAAAGGGAAGCATGGAGTGAATGTCTGTCAAAGCACAAAAGAAAATGACATTACCAGTCCATCAAGGTCAAGGCTGATAGCAGGGGAGCAGTATTAATCTATCCTGGAGGGGGTGGGGGCAATCTGCAACTGAAGACTCAAAAGACAGGATGCACATTGACAATAGGCCAATGACTGTGGGACAGCATGTGAATCATGGGCTGAGTAGACCTCTCCATGTTAACATCTGTCCCACGAGCACAATATAATCCCCTTGTACTTAAAATTCAGCTTCCTCTCCTAGCACAAACAAAGACCCCTTAAAGTTGACTGATGTCATTCTCTGTTATTTCAGCTGTTTAACCTGGGCAGTAAATCTCTACTAATTAGTCAATTTAATCAAATAAAACACTTTTCACATTTCCTAATTATCCCCTCAAAAAGATTTTCACATGTAAATAAAAATGTTCCTGCATATTTTTCTGTATTTATTAACTTGCTATGTTGTTTATTTTTCATTTAGCCTTAATTTAAGAAGAAACATTTTGTTTAGGTTAAAAAATGTGTTATAATCCACACACTGTATATTCTACATAAGCAAAAAGTAATTCAGTACTTACATTGTATTGCATTTTCATAAAGAGAGTGTAAGTGTCTAGAACAATAGCTAGTGGGCTGATCTTAATGGGAGTGAGGCCAAGCAGAGATTTAACGTGCATGTGTGTGGGAGGGGGGGTACTTGGGGCACACATGGCACCAGGGTGAGCCTAATCACCGGCTTGCAGAAATCCTCACAAATGGGAAGGGGGGTGGGGCCTGTCTCTAGGGTGACTCATTTAGATTTCGAAGAAAGCATTTTGCAAGACTTGTGCAGCTGGGCTCCAAGTAGACATGAAGAGGAATATATTTTCTTATTCTCTCTTACATGTGCATGCACAGCTGAGGGTAACCGCCCTGACACTTGTTCCACTGGTTCATAATAAACAGGATAGTCTGATCACTCCCATTTCCCTGAAGCTGCAGTTTCTCTGTATCCCATTGTTCAGCCTGCAGGAGCCACAGCAGTGTTGTGGTCATTTGATCTCTCAGTCAGTGTAGTCACCAAAAGACCCTGGAAACATTAAATAAATGATGCTCTAGCAAACCTGTAAACTCATTATTTTTGGGGTCAACTGGCTAATGCAGTCCAATATAGTGTACTTTGCCTGTTTTGGTTTGTTTTGTTTTGATATTTTTAAACATGTGTCTCTTTAGCTGTAATGCTACTTCGCTTACCAGCTGTGTTCACTGGCTTTGTCTGTGATGTTTAGTGCTTAGCAGGTATAGCAACACTGGGTTTATCAGAGTGATTTTTTTGTGAGTGAAAAATGCAGCTGTCTGCTGTTGGAAATGACACTGATGAATGTGTACAGGGTGATCCAAGACATTAAAGTTACAAACAGAAAATAAATCACTGAGCTTAAAATAATAGTTAAAGGATAAAACAATTGACTGATTGATTGATTGATTGATTGATTGATTGATTGATTGATTGATTGATTGATGACAGATAATCATTCTTTATTATAGGCCTACTCATCTTTAGATGAGGAGGTTGTACTGGCCGTATATGCCAGTTGTCCTACCTAAATTACTCATCAAACTGATAGGCTATTCTTATACATGTTTCCTTATTTTGAAAATTAGAAAAAAATATGGTGCCACTTTTGACAGAGTTATCTCAAATGGGCCTTCAAGAGACAAGGCTAGCCAATGGATAACAAAGGTAAAACGACAGGCTGACGGTTAGAAGTGGAATAGCCTTAAAAATGACAAATGTAGGATACTTATTATTCCACAATCACATGAACTGGAATTGCATTGACAATTTAGGCCTGCATGAATGCAATCTATAACAAAAATGAACAATCAAAATGTTTTTTTTTCTTATTATGTTTAATTTACAAATACTAAACAAATGACTTATTTAATGTCACATATTTCATTTGCACTGTCATAGAGCGTTGACGCAGCAGAGAGCGCTGCTCCGTTTCAAGACAAATGTGCGCTGTGGCGACGCACGAGGAGACCTCATGTCCCATCCTGAATCTGTGGAAGAGAGTGGAGAGGAGGGAGAGGAGGAAGAGGCGGGGAGTGTGAATGGATGGGGGCTGACAGTGCGAGACAGGGTTATGTGCCGGACAGGCAACAGCTTCCCTTCCTGGACTTTTCTCTCGTGAAATCTGCTGAACAACCTCTTTTTTTCATTCCAACTAATCACTTTTTGAGGAAGACTCGTTCTTTTAAAGAAAGAGGTGGATGTATTTGATTTAGCGGTGCCGGGTGGCTGAGACGCTCCGCGCTCAGACAATAACAAGGAAAGATCCGATCACAACAAAAGACACAAGGTGAGAAACGTTCTGTTTTACACCAAAACTGAAAGCTCGCGCTCGTGGCATTTCTTTTTAAATCCTAGAAAGATATTGGATTATATTACCCTATTCTTTCATCTGTAAAGCGCTCGGGTTTGAAGGTCTATGTTACATTGTCAATAACTCCTTAACTTCGCTCTTATTTGCTACTTTGCTCATGAGACTAATCAATATAATTTTCAGCTTTAAATGTTCTATTGTTATTTCTTAGTTGAAACATCTTTTATTTGCCTAACACCCACCGCATGAATCCAAAACACCGCTCCCTTGTTCTGTTTAGGTGTTAATTAATCTATGTCTCCTGTGAACTGGCATACAAATCTATAAGGTCTTTTACTTTACTTTTCCTGTGACTGTCAACCTGGTGTGGAACTGTTGACATCTAAACAAAAGTGAGGAGCCAATAAGAATATGTGGGCTTTTGAAGTTGTAAATGTTATTTGGACAGACAGTTGTTATTTGGACAACAATGACCTGTATTGTGGACAACACCTTGATACCTGTGGTTCAGCCATCACTGACGATAGGGAAATAACTGCTCCTATGCCCCTTCCCGTTTCTTGCTGGCCCCAAACTGTGGTCTGCTGGTTTGCACTCCTCTTTGTGAATATCCTGTTTCCTGGACAAAGCAAACAATGGGCAGGCCGGCATGGAAACCATATGATATCCTGTATGGGTCTTGTGTCATTGCAGACCTAAATAAACAGGAGCTTGTGGTGCTGAGTTTTTTTAAAAACAGGATGACCATTTTATTTGTCAGTGTTATTTTTTCATTGTAGTTTATTGATTTGAACTCAGTAGAGCTTGTTTAAAAAACAGCAATATGAGTGGCATAAGTGGAACAAAAAACAACAACATCGGTGACAGTATTGAATTTGTGCCTCATGAGTGCAACATATGTCGTCCCTCTCTCTCTGATACAAGGACACACACACACACACACACACACACACACACACACACACACACTCTCACACACAGGCAGACAAACTGCAAAGGCAGCGCTGCTTTGTGTTGACTTTAGTCTAGGATATTCAGCTGATTTTATTGGGGTCAGCACTTCCAATTCAATAAAGCTATTAACAGCCAGAGAATATTCCAATGCCACAGCTAAGCTCGGCACAAATAAGAGTTATATGCCAATCAGGTCCCATTTACCTTTGAATGGGTAAACAAAACTAAACAGCAGATTCAGTCAGCCCGGAGAGTTTGAAATTAGCTGCGTATGTGTTCCCAACTCCCCTTAAAGACCCGTTGTGTGAAAAGTTGTTCATCATCATTTTCTTTTTTCTTTCCCACACATCTTTATTTTAACGTCCAATGGGAAACTTGCAAGAGAGCTTTTGTCATTCAGGCCATTTGATACTGTCGTCACACAGGTTCACACAACTCAGCACTTTTGGTAGAAAATAAGTTCCTGCCAAACTGGTTCTGACAACAGATTTTATCCCCTTAAAGAACCCTTTACCAGAGACTGGCATGTGATAGTGAACATGTGAATGGTAATGGGATCTTAAATGAATCCACCTTAACCGTTGCTATTTTTTTTTTTTTTTTAGAGTAATTGTATGAGTCTGTATATAAAAAGATCCGTCTATAAATGAAATCAACCAGGCCAGGGACGTCTTATTGGTTTCTGGTAGATCTTTTATTGGATCAAGTCTGGCAGGATTTCCAAAACCAAAAGAGAAGACTGTTGAACTGAATAACATTACCGTAAACCCCTTAAAGTGATGCATTAGTTAAGTAGTGTTCGACTTTGTATCGGTTGGGAAACTCACCAACGCCAACATTTAAAAAGTAAATAATATAATCTAAGTAGAAGCTTGGAGCTTTCCCCCCAAACATTACTCAACTCTTTTCACACGCTGATTAAGACACCTTATGGTCAACTGATTGGATGTGTAATGTAGCCCCTTACACAAGGCATCCAAAAAGGCAAATTATTGGTGTCCCTGTGTGTGAATTGACATTGCATTACAGCATTGCGGAAGCTCAACAGGCACGGCGTGTGAATACACAACAGGAGTTTCGCATACACACACACTCAGGCATGCATACACAACTTCACCCAACCATTCTGCCTTTGGGTGTCACACATTGCAAGCTAGGCATACCAGGGTCCCACCTTCATCTGGCAAATCTGATTGTGCACTTTCAAAACAAGACAATAAAACAGGTTTATTTTTACAACAGCCTGTTGCAAAAACTATTTGTCACAGTAATGGGAAGTAGGGTTTTCTGTTATCTATACTTTAATTGCATTTTTGTGCCCGGCCTTCCCAAAATCAAAAGTACAAAAGACAATTCCTCATGTGAGAGACAACAAGAAGTGATAATATGAACATGGTATGTGTGTCAGACAGGGAGAAGTGAGCAGAAACATGAATGAAAGTGAGCAAGCACAGTCAACAACTTCAGAGCTGACTCATAATAGCAGGACATTATCCAACTGATAAGCACATTCAAGCATAAACTGTTTTTTGGTTTAAAGTTTTATTTAGAGTGTCAGTGCTTTCAGTTTAACTTAGTATGTAGTGTAAACACGTCAGAGTATGACAAAGGGGCTTCTTTCTGTGAATACATTTCAGAGCCTTTACTTTTTCACTTACTTTAGTTAAGAGACAGGTTTTATGGTGTCAAACATGACCTGGCTAAAGCTCGTTTTCAGTTTGTATGTTGTTGACCAATCATTGTTGAGGAGCCTTCAGTGTCATGCAGGGAAAAAGTCAGTAGAGAAAAAGAGTGAAGAGTAGAATGCATTGGCCTGAACACAATCCCGGAAACACATTTGCAAACGTCTGAGAACATTTTTGCTTTTGATTATTCTCTATAAACAACAGTTGTTGTTTTTTTTCATATGAATGCAGAAAAGAATCTGGTCAACACCATTTGTAATACTTGAATCATTGATGCTAGTCACATAACAAAAAAAGAGCCCACCAAAAAGAAAGACTTTGCCAGGATATTTATATTATTATATCCCATTAAAAAGCATTAAAAAATGTTTTCAAATTGAGAAGTTTCATTTTCTTATAGCCTACTACTTCTTTTTTATTTGTGAAAGGGACAACTGTGCCATTTCTACTTTTAAACGTTAAATAGGATCACGTCTGAGATTAGAAGCAAAAACACCAGATAAAGGAGTGCTAGCTGTTGTCAAATTGTAAACATGGATATTGTGTATTATTGGCTTCTTTATATACAGTAATGTAAACAGGATTGTAGCTTGAAGCCTTATTCGAGGTCAGGCACTGGACTGATTTCTAGTCACTGTTTTGTAGGTCAACACTAATCTATAGGCTTAGCAGTGGAAATCAATTCACATCACCAGTGTAGAGTGGTTGTCTGAGTAGAGACCACAAGACCTTGCTTTAAGAGTATTTCCAAAAAGTATTCACATCAATGTCTAAACGCTCCACCTTTTCGCTGTAAATGTTCTCTGTGCTTTTAGCCTTCTGCCATAATGCCTGCATGTTTGGCTCACCAAAAGTTGTGTCAACATAACTATGTTCCTCATTGGCCACAAACCAACTCAGCAGTGAGCAGACTCTTCCTTTTTATCATTTTTTTCATGGCTGCTTTGTTTAGTCAGACAGGACTTCCTGGGTCAAATTAAGAGTCTGGCCCTTAGTTTTATGAGCAAATCAGTTAATGACTATCAAAATGTACAATTCTTCTATACAAGAATACGTCATACAAAAATGTGACAAATATACTTCTGTTTTTTGTATTATTTCTAAAAGATGTTGCTGTTGAGGGCTGGGTTTGTATTAGTTCCCCTTCAGATTAAAATAGGAAACAGCCCTGTTGCAACCCGGTATCATGCCAAAGCGTGTAATAGACACTATTACTATTACTAATCTGGAGACAAATGTCAGAATCATTGATGTCATTTACTGATATAACCAGTTATTCAATAGTCCTCCCATACTGACCAGACAAAATACCTCCCCTCCCTTCATGTTAGAGGGAGGCCTGACAAAAGTTAGGATTTATTAAATGGCCCTTTGTGTACAAAAGATAAAAAGCGAGAGTGAGAGAGTGACCGCGTTAACTGGAGACTCTCAGCCAAACGCGTCTGTTGGTGTCCTGCACACAACGGACGCTGAAACGGATAGAGCCTCTTTTGTTAAATCATTCATTTACAGACGTATCTAAAGAGTGCATTTTGAAGCATTTGCGTGGAAACCTTTCGTGTTTATCAGCTGCGGTTACCGCGAAGAGCACGGCCGCATTAGGCTGTAAGCCATCAGATGACACGGTCACTAGTCACACCGTAACACCGTAACACCGCCAGTTAACACGATCACTGTTTACACAGAAACAGGTCCAAATACTGATCTATCTAGTACTGGGGGATATAATGCTTCAACCTTAGCTAGATATAATATTAGCCCAAGTTTATCAGGTTTAATTTGAGAAAACGTTAATGTAGAGATAGTCTTTAAACTAGCTGGGCAGCTAAATGCTATTGCTAAATGCATTTTCATTACGTTACCACTTCACTTTCCTCTCATGTTAATAACCTTGGCTCTCTACCACCAAACGACATGTATTTAGCATGAAAAACAGTCATAGGCAACCTCAAATATTCAAACTTAGGTTAATAATAAGTTAATAATAAATATTAATCCCGGGTAATTACTCTTACCTGACAGGAAGGAGGTTTGGATTACACTGAAACGCTTCTCTTTTGTCCGCGATGGATGTTGGCATTGAGTAAATTATCACCCCCTGCTGGTACGGCACAGATCACAGGCGTGTACATTTGACGCTGAAGACAGGCAATGCATGACACTGACACGCATCCTCTAGTAGACCAACGTGTCTATTACACGCTTTGGCATGATACCGGGTTGCCTGGAGAGTGGTTCTTAGCTGGCCGGTAATTCCACTGGGATCTTGTTTACATATGATTAAGATGAACAAGATTTCATTAATTAATTATTCTGTTTAAGGACAGACACTTGCAG